GAAAAGAGGCTGGATAAATGTAGATGCCCACACCCAAATGTTAGCAGCAAACCCAAGTTTGATCATCATTTGCACTACTTCTAGTTCTCTGTTTTGGGCTCGAGAGGTCTGTGCTGCTCAGGCGTGCCCAGGTCTGAGTTATTCAGTACCTTGCGCCCATTTGAGTCAGCACTCTTTGCACCCAGAAACTGGGTGGCCCAGGCCCAAATCCACTGGAGTAGGGGTAGCTAGAGGGCTGTGCTGAGGCCGCCTGACGCATAGGACAAGCCCGTCACTGGAGGCAGCTCCATTTCCATGTTACAGGGGGGACAGATCTGCTTTTGCAGGGCAGGTGGAGGTGCTCCCTACCCGCAAGGTATGCTGGCGGTGCCCATGCTGTGGCTGCCCCACGCTGCCCCTCTGCCTCCTGACAGCCCTCGCATGGCCCTGCCAGGTACAGGATGGCAACCCGCAGCGGAGGTGGCCAGAGGTGGTACCTAGCTGCTGTGGAGCCCATGCCCACAACAGTGAGGACCTGCAGCTGTGGCCATGGCTCCCTGCTAGCAGCACACCACCTCTCCCTCTGTGCCAGAGCTGTGTCGGCTCCTTTGGCATGTGTCAGGGAAGAGGCAATGCCTCAGGAAGGGGCTCAGGAGTTGAGGGGTGAACTTGCTGTGTAACTTAGGAGGGAGGCAGGAGGGTCCTTGGGGAGTGGGTGGCATTTCAGGCATGCTCCTCCATTTAGGTTTCTCTGTCAGGTGTGATCCAGCCCCAGTATGCTGGAGGGCTTTGACTCACCCTCCGAAGACCTCTAGTCTTCCCCACATGGTGTGTTATGAACCCACCTCATGCTAGGTTTTGGATTCCGTTTTATTACCACATGCTTCAGTTTGTGCCACTGCAATACCAAAACCAAGGGGTGTCTAACCACTGCATTAGCTTGCTGAGGAGCCAGAGCCTAAATTCAGCAAGGCAAAGTAATTAATAGTTTGAGAGTTTTACCAAAATCTGTGTAGGAGCTACTTGTGAAACTGCATTTTCATTTCCCCTTTCAGATTTAGTTCTCTGGCAATGAGTAACCCTGCAGAAGTCGCTGTGCCCAGTCTACTTCAGAGGCTCTAGCAGTGCTCTCTGCCATGCTGTGAGGAAGCTTCCCTTTCTCTGAGGTATCTGTTCCCGGGAAGGGAGTTGCTTTCACCCCCAGGTTCAAATGGGTCTGGGCAGCCTACCTGATTCCCCCTGTACTGCCTAGGAACCTGAGGGGAAGCAAATAGAAAACACGCAGCCGGCATCTTGGCCACATACATTTTTCCTGCCTCTCTTTGAAAATGTTAACAAAAAAAAATTAGGCTCTTTTTTTAACCAAATAAGTGTTGTTTATATCTCTGATGCAATGCCTAGACATAAGCAACAATTAGCTTTATTTTGTATAATATAATGATCATCTAGGACAGAAGAATGGCTTGTAGGGCTAAATACAATGAGTATCAAGAATGTCATGGTTTAATTCCTGAGCATTGCACGTACCATATTATTTGAGGCAGACCAAAAGAAGAGCTGAGAGAATCTGAGAACAAAAAGGAAATCAGGCAGGGGGGACCGGAATAGCTTCCTTCCTTGATCTCAAACCCCTTCCTACCATCAGCAGCCTGCTGGTTTCTCCAAGTGTGACAAAAATCAATGGATTAAGAGACAAATGTGACCCTTCATTGTAAACTGGCCCATGCCTTTACCATGACAAAACCCTGGATAATGCTATTTTACATAATTGGTCATAAACCCTTAGTTACTTGAGGTTTAAGACTTTATTTTTGCTGTCTACTCACTTTTCAATGCAAAAATAATTTGCAACCCTCCACTCCACCCCCATAAATATTTTCCACAACAAAGTTGTATCTAAAAGTCCCAGATAATGACTCATACTGAGTTTAAAAAAAAGGAGAAGCAACGTATTTTTGAATGTATTAACAATATTCTCTCACAGCCAGATGTTCCCCTTCATTGCACAGCATGAAGAGGTGAAAAGGAGCAGAAAAACTGCAGTAAGACACACAAAGAAGGATCAAGAGAAACATGTCAGGCTGTGATGTTACACCTAACTTTGGAATTGCCTACGTGTTGTGCAGAGGATGTGGAGCTGAGGGTCTCTTTGTGGAGTTCCAGGTCACTAGGAAGTGAAGTCACAGAGCAAGCGCATGAAGCATGTGCATCCCTAAGAAAGGTCTCAAATTTTTTTATTCAGAAAAACCCCAGAAGAATGGAAGAAGCAAAAATAAATCCGACATTCAACTATTTTTAGGAAGTTATTGGGTCAAGATGCTCCAGAAAGCACAGTGGAGGGAAATGGGTGGAAACCAACACGTTAGAAGATGTTTCTTATTCTACAGTCTTGGTTTTTCGCTTTGCTCACTCGATTAAAAAATTGTTTGTGAAGTATTTTACAGATGGATGCATTCTTTATCCAAAATGCAAACTGCTTAGCCAGATGGCCTCACATCTGGATTAGTCTGCAGCACAAACCAGAAAAGAGTAGTTGCGCTTTTAAGCAGCTGCTATCTGTAGGAGAACTGAAATGGGTGATGAACACCGAAGACATTTATATCAATATAATTTGTGAATGGTATTTATTTCTCTACTTCTGACAAGCCCCAGCGTTCTGGTGGAAACATTTCAGAATGTTTGGGTGGCTGACCTTCCTTATCATGATCGCAATGGAAACTTATTGCCTGATTGCGTGCGCTGGTATTGGGAAACCCAAACCCAGTTAAAAACAGAAGAATAGGTTTTCAATGTGAAAATTAAGTAACACAAGTTCTCACATAAACTGATAATGCTCTGAAGCCCCTCATCCAAAATCTTGTCTCAAACTAAAAGGAAGATTGAAGCTTTTAAGACGATAGTATTCCAGAAATGCCTTCTGTGAACCACCCTTCCCTACCTTTATCCTTGTTGATAATGAACTGAATTAATTTCATTTTATAGGGAAAAGAAACAAATTGATTCCTCAGCCTAACTGTGGAGCACTGTTCTGCAAGCTTCGTATCAGCAGGTTTACAGCATGTTTACACAGGTTATATTCTTTCAGCCACTATTTATATTTTTGGCACAAACTGCCTTTCATCTACACACAAATTATCTTTTTATTTCCTTTTTGCTTTATCTTGTAATTTATTCTGTTGGTTTTTAATCTTTCTTGGAAGCAGTATGACTTTATCTTGGAATGCATTGTACTGTCATAATGTTAACGTGGACAAACTAATTAGCTGTCTTCAGAGAGTTCCCATCCTGCAAGAAACACATAATATGTGGCTTTAGATCTGGATCAGGCAGCCTGTTCCTACTGCTTTTTGGCTAGAGATGGTCTGAAATGGGTTCCCTGAGCCCTAAATATTTTCTGAAAAGGACTTGGGTTCCATTTCTCTGCCTCTGGGTCGGTTTCGAGGCTGCTGGGATCCCACTGCTCATGCCTCCAACTGAGGAGCAGACAACCCACCGCCTGCTGTGGCTGCTGCCCCAGCGGGGCCCCTCGCGCTCAGCTCTGGGGCAGCGCTCCTGCTGTGACAGGGCTCTTGGGCTACCTCAGGAGTATGGGACAGGAACGCCCTCCCTGTAGTCTGATTGCCTGGTCATCCAAAGCAGACAACCTCTTGTGCTCACGGCTCCCAGGGTATAGACCATAGACCCTTGAAATCCTGAAACGAACAGGAAAAACAGGAAAACTTTGCTTTCAGTGTTGTGGTAGGAAAGCTGGAAGTGATGAGAGTCTGGCCAGCTCAAGCTGTCTATGCTGGGAAAGGGTGGGAATCTCCACGCCTCTGGACCCTCCTCCTGCTCAGCCTCCTTGTGCTGGTCAATCCTAACCAATGCTACCAGGTAAACTTCACTGAATTAAGACAAACCCAAGTTCAAATCAGCCCAAAAGTGGGTTCTGCTCAAGGTCGACTAAACATGTAAACTCTCTTTTTTTAAAGGCAAGGCCATATTCCAGTTTGCATAAAAATATTCCAAGTCTTGTTCACGCTACTGGAATGTGAATCGCACATAACACTGGTGGGCAGTTGTGGATCTGCTCCTTTTCTCCTAGTGGGTGTAGGAGCTGCTGGGCTGCGCTGTGCCATCAACCGCTGCAGCAGAGAGGAGGCGGCTGTAGGAGCAGCAGACTGCAAAGAGAAAGCTTTCTGCAGCCTGGAGGTTTTGCCCCC